ACCATTGTTTCAGCAATAAAGTAAAAAATAGGCGGAGCGTAGACGACATACTGAATATTTTTTTTTTTTAGATTTAGCTGTTTAAGAAATTGTTTTTTAATTTTAATTCTCAAAATACTCAGACGCTTAAAAAATTAAATATAAAATGGACCCAGATTGCATCTGTGATAATTTAAAAAATAGAAGTTATTGCATTAATATATTTATATATTAATAAATATACATAGTCTACAAGTTCTTAAATCTAGATAATAATTAGTACAATACATTAAAGAAGTGTTAACAATGGCACATTCAATAAGTTTATTTTTTAAACGATTTTTTACAGTCAAAATAATTTAATGAAATACTATAAAAATTACAAAAAAATTGACATTTAAAATTTATAAATATGGATTCAATCTTGTATATAGTTACTGATGGGAACTTCTCTTATATATCTTGTATCAATTAATAAAACTTTATGAATATAATAATACATATATCTGAAAGTCTAAATAACACATAACAAAAGAATAGATGTGTAACTATGAAGAAATTTCAACATTACTTTTAATTGCATTTTTATATCGATTAATTATTATTATTACTATTTTTGTAATCACTTATTATTATAATTTACTAATATTTAAATAAACGTGAACATTTGTGTCTATATACTCTTCACCATGTAGGTATAGGTAATTTTATAGTGATGAATAGAATAATTTATTTACTAAATTAAAAATATAACAGATGTTTTGACGTTAACATACTATTTAGAATAGCTAATAACATTAATTGTTGGAGAAAATAAATCATACGATATATATATAAATATACACTAAACAGTAAGTGTATACTTTTATATTTTACAGTATAAACTAAGCTTACTAAGCACTCAATGACGGTAATTTTGTTAAAATTATCTAAAAAAACTATTTATTTATTCATATTTAGCAAGAAAATATATTTAGATAAATATACTTATGTTTATTTTAAATTTAATAATTATAAATGATGAAATATCTATTTCATATTTAGCTTTAAATTTATAACACATTTAACATATTTAGCTATTAAAATAAGGAGAAATACTTCAAAATATATTGGCTTTTATATAATATGTATATGTATCTGTAATAATCTTTTATAGATAACATGGAAAAATAAAAAAATTAAAGAAGATGTTATTTAAAGAAATACCTACTTCATATTATTATTTATTCACGATGAATTTAGATATACAAATATATTTCTGTAATTATAATAAATTATAACTTAATTCATAAAGTAACTAAATATTGTAAATAATTGTAGTAAATAACTGCCTATTTTGAATGGCAACCGAATACCGAATAAATAAAATTGCAATATTTAAAATTACTTGATATCAAACTAAATATTTTAAAGTGTAGAATTTTTAATAGCGAACCTAATGTGATATAACCATAATTTACCATTGGATTTTCATCGAGTTTTTCACAATATCGTATTTGGTTAATAAATATTTATAATGTTGTACACATACTTGGTATTTCAAACAACAATTCAGTATATTCTTTACCTACTATAATATTTTATCTCAGGTTGACACAAAATTGAAAAGTGTAGACATGTTCAATAATAACAATGTGGCAAAATGTTATATGTATATCCTTATAAGTAATATTAAACAACCTTGTGTATTGAATTAATTAAATTAATTTTATGTTGTCAATCATTTATCGATTTTATATACATTATTAGAAGTGTACCTATATTATATTGTTCATATATACATATGTGTACCTATACTTCACGTGCTGCTTATAAAGTGACCCCTGATTTCTATTTTTCCACACTTTTACGTCATTTTTTTCATTACTTATTCATAACTAGGCAAGTAGACGCTTACTTAAGTCTAATAATAATTTATTTAATTCTATATGATAAATATATTGTTAATGTTAATCAATCACTAATTATAGTTATTTAATGTATACATAGCACTGACAACGAATGTCTAAATTCATCTGCAAACGCGTATTTATTATACACATGTAATCCTTGGGCTTATAATCACACAAATACTTCCAAAGATTTTTTAATTGCAGCTAATTCTAATATACAGATATTTAAAAATATTTTATATATATTTACATTTTATTTATGTATTTTTACAATTTTATAAGAAATTTTAATGATATAGGTACTAAAAACTACTCTAGTTTGGTCCGTTGAATCGTTTTTTCACTACAACATTTTTATGCGGGTTTAGAAAGCTATAGTTATTACATATAAAACATTATTGAATTATTTCAAATTAATTATATGTAATATATTACCTATATATTTACTAAAATCTGAAAAATCACTAATAGAATATATTATCTTAATATTGGTCACATTGATTAGATGATTGTCATTTTATAAATATAGGTGCATATGTTTAATGTAAAATGTCTTTAACTGACAGATTAAACACTATTAATTGGTGATTTATAATGTGTAAGAAGCATTAACATTTACATTTTACATTAATTGCATTTTTTTTTTTGTTAACAAATAACTTAGCTTAACAATTTATCACATTATATTTAAGAAAATTACAATTCATTAATATTCACTTATAGGTACCTACTTAAAAGTTATCATAATAGTATGAATACATTTATAGCTTATTGATTGTGACCTATGCACATCACTACTGCATTTTGATTAAATTATAAATAATTACAAAAAGTTACATTTTAACAATGACTCGGTATTTCATTAATTACATTTCCTTAAAACATTAAAAATCATTTAATATAAATAAGACTATCTGTAATGAATGTTGTTTATAATTTAGAAACATTATTATTGAACAAAAATTTGGTCAATAAATAATAAATTAGTATCTTAAACTTCAGCTAATCAATAAATTTAGTACGTATGTTTTCCGAATTAAGGTATTAGATAATATAGAAATATCTTAACTTATATAATATACCTTTTTTAGTATTTTTTGTTATTAAAACGGCATTCGAATGTTTTGAACATTATTCTAGTAACTATAAATTTCGTAAATAACTAACAAAAAAACTTTTGAAAACATTTTTCCTTTTTTGTCGTATTAAATTATTTTATAATTTATTATCATATAATGCAGGTAGGTATGTACATGAATGTAGGTCCTATACATTATTTTTGGTTAGTAATGTTTGTATTTACTTAAAAAGGAAGTTGACAAAAATTACTATAATTAAACATTTATAAATTATAAATGGTTTTTTTCACTTTTTTTCTCCAGCTCTTATTATTTTCTTAATTATATCGTTAATAATGTATTATTATATTAAAAAAAAACTTTGCACTTTATATATATACCTGCAATTATTTAAAACAACTATTAAATAATAAACAATTTAATGGTAGTATACCTACCTAAATATTATTCTACAATAGATACCTACGTGGATTTATATAATATAACCTATTTATTATAAAATAATGTGTTATTTGTAATACATGTATTTTTATTTATCAATATCTTATTTAAATAACTTAAAATAAAAAGATCAAATTTATCAAGCAGGCGCCTACTTAAACAAATTTAAAGTTAAAATAAACATTATTGTAAGTAATATGAATCTGGTAAGTGGTAAATCAGATAAAATAAATGTTACTGTTACGTGTTTATACAGTATATATCCAAACATAAATACATCTATTATTTTCAACGTAATTTTAACATAAATTTTTTTTAATATATTATGATACCTATGATACTGACATATGGTAAATTACTTATCATTTATTAAATTAGATGTAAGTTGTGGTATCTATGCATAATTATTTAAACGTACTATTATTATACACATTATTAAATTAAAAATATAGAAACTTGATATTTTTGTATAGACAATATTTATAATCATAACAGAAGCTAATAATTTGGGAAATAGTCATTTCTGTTTAGAATAATTAAATGAAAAATCAGGAAAATATAAATGAATAACATATATGTGTTATTCAATGCGTGTTAATTTTTGAGAAACAGCAATTGAATGTTATAGAATGTAATTGTCTGTGTGTTTTCATTTTATTATTTGCTCATAGTAAAGTAAGTGTATGACATATGACTGTTTTTAATAACCTATAGTAAAGTAAGGTAAATTTAAATACATTCTTACATTAGTTCATAAGAAGGCATGAATTCAACACTAATTAAAAAAATGACATTAACACAATTCAAATAAAATAAATAGGCCGTCTATGTTAAATTATGGTTTTAATTATTAACTTTTGTCAACATATGATATACGTGGTTATATTTTATCTAGTATCGAATCTATACGTTTATAAGTTAAAATTACGTTATTCATAAGCGTGAATGGTTATATGAAATATAAAAACCAAAATAAAATAAAAAACAAAAATTAGACGCCTCTTCAAATTCCAATATACATTATTAATATACGTACTATTCCATTATTGTATGTACCTATTATTATATTTTATAGGTACCTAATAAGTAATATGCATCGAATACATAGTATACCAATATAACAGATATAAATTCAGGTCTTAAACCTACCTAGGTAAATTTATTAATATATATATATACAGAATAGAAACACGTATTTAAATAATACGATTTATTTATTTATTTTTAGGTAACTATATCGTGATTAGCGAGGAAGCAGGCCAATATCAATTGTTTTTAAATAATATTGTTACTCCGCCGTATGTAACATTAATACAATATCGAGTAGAAATCCTATTATTACAATCGAACCAGTCACACACGTAATTACAATATCAACCACTAATACAGTGGTGATATAAGACCGTTTAAACTCATAAGTAACCAACTATACCTGCCAACGAATAAGTATAAGCGCATATATTTTGCACGTGAATAACATTAATATCAAATAACCACGGGCTCGCATCAATGCACATAATTGCATTATACAGCAGCCGTCCATCATTACGGCAGCTATAGGCCGGAATAGATATAAATATATAAACACAAATGATTTGTAATTAAGTACCTGGTCCGAGCGCGTGGAGTCGGAAAACCAAGAGATGCTCCCGTCGTGTGAAGAGGAATATGCGAAAATTCGTCGGTGTAGAAAACTTTTGTGTAGCGTAGAAGACGATGATGATGGTACCCGGGTGAGCAGGTACGGCGTAGGTGTAATGTCGATATTATTCACCCGCAGTATAGTATTATGGGTATACACCCGCGTGTTTCTTAATATCTTAAATCGAAATCGGATTTACCGGGTACTACGTGTGCGCGTGCGCGTGCGGGCACCGCCGAGTTAAACGACAATAGTAATAATAATAATAATAATAATAATAACAATAATGATAAATATTTGTATTCCGTAGGTGCGCGCGCGACCTCTCGAATCTGACTGGAGCGCGGCTGCACTGCAGAGACCTGATGACCGGACGGACGGGCGTACGGCGGACGGATGCGACGGCGGCGGTGGAGTTGTTCGCCGTCGGTGAGCGGCGGTCGTGGTCGGTCGGCGGCGGCGGCGGCGGTGGATCGTTGGCTGTCGACCGGCCCGAGGTGGGGGTAAAATGGAAAAATGGCGTCGGCCGCCCGGGCGCCGCCCACTTGGGCGCGGTGGCGGCGGCGGCGTCGGGGTCCGCGTCGAGAAGGGGCGATCGTCGCTAGCGCGCGCGCACACCAATGGACGACCGGCGGTGGCGGCGGTTCAGACCGCTACGGCGGCGGCGGCGGCAACTGCTTCGTGTGTGGTCTTTTCGCCGCCGCCGCGTTCTATTATACGTCCGTCCGTCCGTCGTTGCTGGCGTGTACACACTACACTCCACTCTCTCCGTCGCACACAACATTTGTACATAATAAATTGCATAATATAAGATAAAAAAAATAACATCCGTCTCCCTCTCACTCCCCGTCGTGTCGTTCTTGCTCGCTCTCGTCCGACGCGAGCATCATTATTACACACACGCATAGTAGTGAATATACTATTCGGTCCTCTTGTCGTTTCGCCGCCGTCGCGTTTGCTATCTATTTTATTTATATATATTATTTTAGTTTGTGTATACAGACACATACGCGTATGCGCAATACGTATATAAATTTTATGGTGATAATATTATATTATATTATAATCTCCCCCGTGTGTTTATATACGTATATGTGTACAACACAATAATACCTACCCATAATGTATTATTTGGAATCGCTTTTCGGATTTCCGTTCGTATAGCGTGCGCACCTACATAGACGCGTAGGTATACACTACCTATGTAACAATATTATATTCGTACACACCATACTGCAATATAAACGTTTCGGGCGACGGCGATACACGGCTGCACCACTGCAGGCGTGCGCGATCGCATGCAATAATGTGGGTATAGGTAAGGTATGGTGGGTACACTCACTTACCGACGACCGCGGCGTGCCGACTTGCATTAACCGCATTTATACTCAGGTCCGCGACTGTCGCGCGCACACGTAATATTATGTACCTATTAAAAAAAAAAAAAAACACGAACACATTGCATCGCCTTCGCCGCGATGTTCGTTATTATTTCTATTATTACATTCACACACGTTTTTACATATATTATATTGGTATATTATAAAGGTGTATGCGCGTGAAATTATGAATAAACCTATATAGTATATATATATATATATATATATATATATAAATACGATTTTACTCATATGCAGATACGCGCGTATAATCATCGTGTGTAGTTGTGTACATGGCCGGTGAAAACCACCTGCAGTCTTAACTTTATTTTGGCAATTATAACATCAATAGGTGAAACACATAATATGTCACGTAGGTATTGTATCATAATTGCCACAATTAAAATTAAACAATATCAATTATAGGCTATGATTTAGCTATTAAAAGAAGGTATTTATAAATAAATTATAAATTCCATGAAATTCTATATTTTTTTAAAAAAAGTGAAATTTGTCAAGTATGTAGATACCAACATATGTTTATATCATTGGAGATTTCATAATAAAAATAACTCGTTTTCAATGAGTTTTTGGAGGTTTGGGTTAGAGATTGAGATAAGTTACAGGAATAAATCTCATGAAAACTGTGTCTTCACCAATGTACCCCAATAATATGGCTATATATTATTTATATAAATACCTAAAACTATATATGTACCTATTAATAATATTTATAATTATAATTATACTTTTCTTTCAATTACTGTTAATCTGAAATTATCTACTGTGTATAGTTTAAAACCGTTTGGAAAAATTAAGATATTTGTATTTCATCTTTAGGTAGGTATACCATAATATATAGGTAGGTAACTGTTTAATAAATTATAAAATTTAATTCTAAAAGTTTTTATATTATATTATATAGGTGCAGTGTATTAGTTGCGTCGCGGAAGCAATGCGAAAGCAGTTCCCGGGGCATAGTCGGTTAAAAACTGAAAAAAAAAAGGTACATATTATATTTTTATATTAGCTGGTTAGCAATACTTAATTCAAAAAAAAAAAAAAATACATGTTTATATTTTATTTAGTTTTTATTATTTTTTATTCTAACATAAAGTTATTAAATAATTATATAAACAATACCTATTATTTAGGTATACTAATTAAGTAATAACTAACAATTTTTTACTTTACTGAGACATGTCTTAAGATGAAATAAGAGTTTTGGAAGGCTACTGAATTCCGTTATCTTTTATTATACACAGGAATTGTCTTATAAAATCAAATATATCAAAAGTAAATTATAATCATTTTCTTCTCTTATTCGTATCTATTAGAATCCTGCGTTAAAGTGCATTTTCTAATAAATATAATGATTTAGCCTCAAAATTGTTAAGAGAATTTGTTCAAAATTATTCATCTATTTATAGTCCTATATTAGTTCATTAACTACAATTTGCACAGTTTAATTCATCTATTCTTTTATTTGTTAATTTATATGGACCATTAAATAATTGCAATGTTTTCAAGAACAAGAATTATCTTCAAACTCTAAAAATTCAATGAAATGTTGTAAATATCCACTTTATAAAATAAAAAATAAAATAATAACATTTGAATGCGAAGAATTGAAAATACTAACACAATTAATAGATGTATTTTAAAATGTATGAAAATCTTTCAAACTTTAATCTTAAATTTTACTATCAAATTATACTTAAATCTAACAACTATTGTAAAATAAAAGTATACACAAATATATTTTAATTTCTATTTAGGTAGGAGTATAAAAAGAGTATGGCCCGCACTCATTTTAGAATTGAAAACGTACAGTATTTTATGGCTGTCAGATATAGTAGATAACACACCGTAATACCTGCTAGGTGTTGATATATATTATAGGTATTTATATTTACACATTGAAACGGTACAAATACACGTATCAATATTTTGGAAAAAGGCTCTTAACAGAGCCAACAATTGACACATAGTTACGACAACCAATCATAACACAGGATGAGCGCAAAACTCCACATTTTGAACTTAAGGGTTAAATCCAAGTCTTTCCTTACACCATATAGACATCATACATACATCAGCGGATAGGGGAAGATGAGACAAAGACAACAATGCTTTATTCATGATTGTATATCAAAAAACATCGGAGATATGACCAAATTCGTCACAAGACAAAACACAACGATCTACCAAAAAATCGAGGTGTTTACTAGTCGGTACGGATATTAGTACTTATACTGGTAAGATTCGGCAGTGAGACCAGTTTCATTCCACAGTTCTTCTTCAACCTTATACCAATAAACATCGAAGATTGAAGATCAGAAGAAACACCAAGAGCGACTACCAGCGAAGAACGACCGATATGATCCCGTGTGCAACTCTTAACGAGCTTTGCCACAAATCGTTCAGACCATACGACGACTCCTGGGTGTTGCGGACTGCCAGTTATTTATCTCTGTCCACGGAGCTAATCAAGTGGTAACCTCTCGTTATATCCGACGTCGGAGAATGGTGTAAACCGGAACTTCGACGCGGATACTCGATGCGCCACACATAGATTCGTGGTATAGAGATATAATCCGGCGCCCCGGAAAATCTCCAGAGGTCTACACCAGACGGGCACATCGAGCGAATCAGAAGACGAGCCAAACTCGAAGAAACCAAAACTGTCCTTTTCAGGACAACCCGTATATAAAACAAGTCCCCTCAAGCGCGCCTACCTAGGCCACGCCTAATTCGAACAAATATTGCAAATTAGACGCCACTTATTTGAGCGGGCATAAAAAACAATATTCTTGTTCATCCCATGAAATGTAAAATTGTAAAAGTAATTTTTATTATGTATATATATATATATATTCAAATATTTATAATGTATTTAATTATATGATAAATAAATTACATTATTATGAAAAAGGGTCGTATTCATATATAAATACAAAACAATTACATTGTTACATGGTGTGAACCGTTACAACATGCCTATTATAGGTGGTACTATATAAATGTTATATCTATAGTATGATGTAGCCACAATAAACATCAATTATTTAAACGTAGGTAAACTAAATCTCACATAAGTATATTTATATAGGTATAGGTATAGCCCGGTATAGATACATATTTATTATTACCAATATATAACTTATACCTACATAGATGATTGACGTCGCAATTATTATATTTTCGTATCAATTTATATCCACCGTCATTTATAAAAGTATCTATATAGCAGATATATTTAAGTATGCATATCATTCACACTATACTACGCAGTGTGCTGCATTATTATTCGGCTGCAGGCAGTGCAGAGTTAACGATTATATGTAGATATACTACTCGCAATGATGTAGTGGCAATTGTGATTTTCATTTTTTACACGCACCATATTATATATTATTTAAGTACATTGTAGGTATATACTCTCCTATTCTGCAGTTCAGCTATTTAGATTTTTTAGGTGGCTGATGATGGAGTGCAAGAATTTAGACTTAGTCATCTTGCGCTTCAGTTTCTATATGTACCTATAATTTTTTACATATTCTTACAAAAATATACTTATACGTAATAATTTATTAAGTATAAAAAATAAATCATAATTTTTTATTAATCATTAAAAAAGAAGTTCATTCGTACTTGCCTTATAATCTATAAATATCTATATCTTTTGATAGTTTTATTTAAAGGATTTTTAACTAAATTAATAAATAGATACCGATATATAAAAAACTATTTAAGTTAAAAATATAATTATTGAGAGTGTTCGAAAATGCTGTTCTAGCTTTTAGGGAAAAATATCGTTTATTATAGTTATTAGAAAAATTAAATTGTCGTTATTTTAAAATATTGGTTATAAAACTTGCAACCCACTGTGCAATGTGAATTACACAACATTATTCTGATATTGAATTTAGATAACAAAAAAACATAACTAATTAACATCAGTGCGATGTTCTATAATTGTTTCATGAAAATAAACTTGTCAATAAAAAACATAACTTAGATATTAATTATATAATACAGATGCGATATTACATTGTAGTT